CAGGACCGCCATCAAATCTACAAGCTTGTTGGTCTCATTCACAGGGATCTCAAGAGGGTTTCGCTGCAGGACCTTTTCCCACTCCACGTCCGACGGTGCCCCTCCCCACGCCTCTGCCGGCTGCTTGTTTAGCTCCTTTGCGCCCTCCACGTTCTTTGCCACCAGGATGTGGCCTCGGAGCTCGAAGGTGCACCTCAGGATTTTCGAGTCGAACGTGGGGGAAAACCCGAACTCGTGGATCCACAACGAGGCCTCCTCTGGGGTTCCCTTGGAGAGCATGTCTTTGATCCTCTGGCTGATTCCCAGATACTTGCGAACTTCCAGTGGGCAGTCGCCCTGATTCAAGAAGTTGTCTATATATGTCAGAATGCTGCCAAATACTTGCACCTCTGGCGGGCCGTGGCTGTGGCCCTTGCCTGCAGCCTCGACCTTGTCGAGGTACGTATTGTACGCTGTTTGTCCCTTCTCCACGAGCGCATGCTCCTTCGGGAAGAACATCTGAATCGAGTTCTGATACTCTAGACTGCGCACGCGACTCTCCAGCTGGTACACCAGCTTCCGGACGGCTGCCTCCTTGGTTTCCTCCTTCTTCTGCTGCTTGGGCTTGTTTCCTCCTCCTCCTCCCCCAGACTCGTCCGTGAGATCGAGCAGCCAGCTCCCTTCTGGCATCTTCGTCTAAGTGCCCCGTCGGCAGATCGAAGGGCGCGAAAAAGTCGAGCTCGTGCTCAGCGAGGTGCGGTGCCAGATGCGCGTTCAAAATGTGCAGCCTCAACACCGCAGGGTCGTCCGAGCCAAAATCGCATAGACGGCACTCCGTGAACTTCACACAAATAACATCCCCCGACCTGCCCACGTCTTTACATATTCCTTTTTTCCATAGAGTTTGCCATGTGTTTCTGCGCTTGTGCGCATGACGAATAACATGTTCCACATATGATACATTGGTTACTCACGCAGGCGACTCTACCCAAGAAGTGCGCACCATGCTCGCCACCCCGCGCATGGACAAAGTGCGACGTGAGCGCAGCCTTACTGTGAAAAAAAAGCGCCGCAGATTGAACCCGCCTCATTCCTGGCCCAGCATCTGTACCTCCCATCCCCTCCCATCTTCAGTCGACGCCGTTTAATATACTGATCTCTGCGTGTCCAACAGTGCGATTTAAGACCATGCACATCCACCCTAATTCGCCGGCCCAACGGGCCAGGGCGTGCTAAGATCTCCGGTAACTGGTTCACAGTATTAACAGTATTTCTAGTTCGCGCGCGCGGGGCGGCCCCTGGGGGTCCCCCGGCGAAAAGTACCCCGACCAACGCCCGGTCGCCGCCCGACCAAGTCTACTCAGAGATGGTTTTCCTTCTGGGTGCGGCCTCTCAGGCTCCCCAGAGCGCGCTCAGAGTGCCCCAAGAGGCCCCCAAGACTGCCCAAGAGGCCCCCGAGACGCCCAAAGAGCGCTCGAAGACGCCGAAGATGACCCCAAGACGGCCCAAAAGGCCCCCAAGACAGCCCAAGAGGCCTCCAAGACGCCCCAAGAGCCTTCCAAGAGGCCTCCGAAGAGAGCCCCAAGAGGCCAAAATCGTTGATTTTCATTGGTTTGTTCTATGTTGTTTGTGTTCTGGCTTTTTCGGCTTCCGGACGCTCCAAGACGGCCCAAGAGGCCCCCAAGACAAGAGCTCCAAGACGGCCCACGAAGCTCCCAAGACGGCGCCGAAACGACCCAAGAGAGCCCTCAAGACGGCCCAAGTGCCGCCCAAGACGGACCAAGAGGCCCCAAGACGGGCCCAAGAGGGACTCAGGAGGGATACCGAGAACTCAAAAATGGAGCCCTCCGTCCCAGAAGGCGCCCAGGAGGTCCCAAAGAGGCCCCAAGAGGCCTCCAAGAGGCCCCAAGATGTCGCCAAGAGGCCCCAGGAGACTCCCAGGAGGCCCAAAAGAAGCCCCAGAAGGCTTCAAACATGTCTCCCAGGCGCCCCCGAACGGCCTCTCAACAGACCCCAAGAGGCCCCCCAAAGAAGCATCTTGACGACGACTCTATTTCGCCCCATCGAGAGACGACCCCCAGGGAACTGCTTCACCATCAAAACTCCCCACGCAACGCGTCCGAACGACACCCGCCCCCAAGAGCGCAACATGGGCAACGAACACACAGACAAAAACCAGCGATGCCATATCACGGGCCGGCGGAATGAGCGAAGCGATTCAATAAAATCCTCCCAACCCTCCAGGATAACTCTAATAGCACCCATACCATAATTCTGTAATAGCACTAGACTGTCATCGAATACTTCAAGGGCTTCAACATCCCTGAGCCACTGCTGCGCCCAGGGATTGACTGCGGTCGCTTGTTGTTCGCACGCCGGCGGCTGAGATACGGTGCCACCCGCCAGCGTTGCACTGAAGTCGCCAAATACGACGGCCAGTACTTGTGCTCCCTCAGTCGGGTGCCGAAGGAGACCCTGAAGCCATGCGAGCCCACGAATTCTGCATTCGATGAACAGCGACGCAATGCGGAACTTGGCAAGCACATCTAAACTGTCCAGGCTGCGTGTCTGGCCTGCCTCGTTCTTTGTCGCTGTGCCGTGCAAGATCACACGTCCACGCCGTGCGAGGAAACTCTCCAGCGGTGCAATATCACTGTCCAGCAGCGTGCCATTGCACCTGGCCAAACTTTCCACCCCCGAGAGAATCGCATTCATGACGTACCCCTTATACATAATTGCCCTCCACTTACAAGCAACCTTACTCGTCCGTAAGTTCCCATCCTCGCCCACGCAGCCATTCCCGAAATAAGACGGAACTTAATCTCCACTCCCACCCCGAATCTCGCAGACAAGCGCACGCCTAAATAACGTGCACGCGCAAGCGTACGCGACGCCCAGGGAGCTTATTCGGGCGCAGCAGCAACTGCTCATTCTGGTATGCCCCTCTCCCGCAGCACACAGGGAGGGACTCTTGCTTCGAGACATTCTGAACCAGCCCCATGGAGCCCAACATGGACGAGATCTCGGAGTTCTGCTTTTCACTGAATATCAGGCCTTCTTGCATGTCGGGGAACGGTGCGGCGCCAGCCAGGTCATCCACAAACAAAGACGCTGCGGCCTGCACGGCCTCGCCCGAACTGGGGCATGTCGCAATAACCCACGGGCGTGCTTTCGCATCGAAAAACCTCTGCAGCTTAAAAACGTACGCCATCACGAACAGATACACCATAACAGGGTCCCCAGGCATACATCCTTCCCCCATAGTAAAAACCACCTCGTCCTCCTCCTCACCCTTGGTATCGAATACGAACGTAAAGTGACTATACTTGATTCTGTCTAACGTGATCACCACGCCCTCAGGATGCAGCACTTTGATGGCCGCTTGATTGAGACACCTTGTCGAGATCGAAAAGAACGCGTTCGTCGCATCATGAAAGCGACGCAGATGCGCACCGCCTAAGCGCTTAAGTCGCCAGGCCGAACATGCTTGCACAACTACTGCCCCCTCCCTTCGTCTAAGCTTTACAGCCCCATACGCCCGCGATGGCGTCGGCGCTTTAGGCGCTCTATGGAGCACTCCTCTGAAAAAAAGCCTTGCCAAGCGAGCGGGCCATCATCGCCGCCCGTTCTCCAGCTGCCCCCTCCTCGTCACTCCCCTTCCCAACGCGCGCAGCAACAGCGCGCAGCCATGCCAGCGGCAGGCGTTGAAAGACTCGCACACGTAGCAGGATCAGCTGCACAAGCTTGTAAACTTCGGTGAGAAGATATTCTCGATGTCCGACACATGCCCAAGGCCATGACGTACTTCTTTCATCCGAGGGTTTGCCCAGCACGGGAAAAAAAAAACATACACGCAGCAACTCGATCGGGCAGCTCCATGCTGGGGTGGATTTCCCAAGCTTAGCTTTCCAAATCGCACGTTTAAGTCTTTGAAGGTCTTCCCCCACCTCCTCCTCATGCACGGTTTGCGGCACAGCACGAGCACGCGCTCTGGCCACGGCGATCTCCCCTAGCGTAGTTTGCTTCGCCGAGCAGCCACCTTCAGGCCCCGATAACTTCATCTTGTCCTCCCACTCCTGCCTCGTGCCCTCCGCCCTGAGTTTGCCGGCCTCCCTCTTCCTTCCTCCACGTGTAGTCTGGGCCAGTAGCTTCGCAATACGATGGATGGCATGCGCATCTCTTCGTTCAACGGCTTCTTGAAACGCTTCGCACCTATCAGTCTTGATCTGCTCCCAATACTCCTGCTTCCTCCTCCTCAACCATCTGCTTATCCTCCTGATCTGCAATGTCAACCGAAGCTCCTTGCTCACCAAGTCCTCCCCCTCCACCTCCTCATACCCGAAATCAAACTTGTGCCTGACGGTGCGGCGTTGCTCAAGCAGCGCCTTCACTTCTCTGGCATGACGCGTGTGATCTTCTGTGTAGAGCGGGGACTTGCAGCAAAAAATAGCGCCGGCTTCATTCACTGCCGCCATCAAGACACGGTTGGCCTCGTCGACGATCTCACGCGGTGGCAGCGCAATCACCCGTTCATATTCCCTTGATAAGTGTCGTTCAACATGCTGGACAAAGGGTTTGCGCTGCCATCCACGCTGTAGCATCATAGACATTGCTTCACCAGAGAAACGAGGTGAATCAGCAATCTGGTACGGTTCAGCAATAATATCGAGCGGGATTGCCAAGCCAATAGGTACATGATCCCACAACTTGCTCTGACTGTGAGCCTGTAGCCTCCAGGCCGATCTACGTAGGGTTCGGCACCATGTCACTTCGTGTACCCACGTCTGGGGTATAAAAATAAAGTCGATCACTTTGGATGTCTCGGTGCCGTAGTACGTGTCACCTGCAGGCCACTTGGTATTGATAGCACATAAAGAATGCGACGCGAGGAGCGCCATGAGCCCTTCGGTGGTGTCGTTCATTGGACCATTCCCGTGTATCCCAACAATCTCATCATGCGCCTGAAACTGCCCATTGATATCTCCCATGATGATAGGCGACCACCGTGCTGATACTGACCCTAGCAAGTGCGATAACCAACTTAGCATGGCCGAATCTGTCGCACGCCACTGTACCACCTGAGGTCGCCCTCTGGGTTGAGGTGGAAAGTACAGCAGAATCACAACGATGCGCAGCGGTCCTCTCTCGAACTTGATGGCACCACAACGACCCCATAAGTTCTTCGGCGTGTGCAGAAAACCTTTGATATGAGATCTGGTCAAGAACTTTCTTCTCACCCACAGGGTAAGTCCACAGCTCTTGTTGCAATGTGCCCCTCTGTTCCAGCCAAAGTCAATACTCCAGTGATTCTCAGCCCGCTGTGATACTTCTGTGTGATCACCCGATGAACGACGCTGCGTGCCTATGAGGCCCACGAGGTCGAAGTTGCTCAACTCATAAATTATGTCCAGGCTCCTCTCGCGATTCGCACTCTGTGGGTTATACTGTGCGATCAGAATGCCACGACGGGCTGCCGATGCCGCGGGAGCTGCAGGTGCCATTGCATGAAGCCAAGCCGCTGCCCCGCTTGCTGAAGGCGCCCGAAGCGGGGGCCCCGCCGAGGGCCCCCCATCCCCGAACCAGAGTGGCGCCTTCGCCGTCGTCCTCCTCCTCCTCCTCCTCCTCCTCCTCCTCCTCCTCCTCCTCCCTCCTCCTCCTGTCCCCATCCCATCTGGGCTAGGGGGGGGGGGCCGAAGACCCTGGGACCCATCCCATCTGGGGGGGGGGCCCGTGGGCCATCTGGGGATGGGGGGGGGAGGTAGGAGGAGGAGGGGGAGGAGGAGGGAGGAGGAGGAGGAGGAGGAGGAGAGGAGGAGGAGGAGGAGGAGGAGGGGAGGAGGATGAGGAGGAGGAGGAGGACGACGGCAATGACGACAGCAATGACGACGACGACGACGACGACGACGACGACGACGACGACGACACCGACAACGACGACGACGACGACGACAACGACGACGACAACGACGACGACGTCGACGGCACCACCAGCGGCGGCGGCGGCGACGTCGAGCACCGGAGCTGTCAACATGACGCCAATCCCAGCCACACGCCGCACCCACACTGCACCCACATGGGGGGAGGGAAGGGGGGAGGAGGAGGACAATGGCGTCCCCCCGCACACACCCACAGCAACAAACCACACCGACACCACATCCACAGGGGGGGGAGCCACCACGCCACGCCCACGCCCACAGGGGGAAAGGGGGGGGCATCGCGCGGAGGGGGGGGGGGCCCGACGGCATTAGCATTGGGGGGGGGGCAAACCCGCGACCATCTATACTAGCGCGCTCAAGTTCTAGCTGGGCCCGACAGGCTAACGTATGGAATCTAAATTGTTGAAGCGCCTTGTGTATCTAACGACCTTGTTGGAGTCCCTGCGCAAGCCTCGAAAGCGTATCGAAGGGGAAATGCGGAAACCACAAAACCATCAATTTGCTTTAGGTGCTCGATGATTTGGGGCCCTCGAAGGCTTCATGGGATTTTTCTTCGATGGTGACGGGGGCCTTAATGATGGTCTGATGTGCAAAAATAAACGGGGGGTAAATTTGAATTGGCCTGGCGAAGGACCCAACCATATGCAGTTGTGAGTACCGCTGTTGTAGGCATCGTCTTCGGTGGAGCCCCCTTGTAGGGCCACGAAACGCTGCCCCAAGAAGGACCAAACAGCCTCCGCGAACCCCAAGAAACTCGTAGTGTGTGGCTGTGCACGGACACACACACACAGGTATGCGAAGACATTTTCACATGCATACGTACGAATACTTGAGAGAGCGTGATCCACCGCCGCTTTACTATGAAAAATTCCCCCCCCCCCCCCCTTCCTCTGGAGCCCGGGGATCCCCTCCCCCCTCCGAAAATCCTCCCCCTGCTGGACCCCCCCCTTCCTCTCGACAAAACCCCCCCTCCCTTAACTCCTGGGCCGTCTCTGGTCTTTCCTGGGGAGCCTCTTCGGCCGTCTTGGAGCGATCTGAAGGGCCTCTGACGCCGTCTGGGACCGTGGGGAGGCGGAACATGCGAGAGCGCAAAAATGCGGGGCCCTTTGGAGAGGCCTCTGGAGGCGCTCTTGGGGCGTCTTGGTGGCGTCGTCGGCCGTCCTGAGACCATCTTCGGCGTGTCCGGGGCCTCTTGGGGCTGTCTTGGCAATCTTTAGGGCCCTCTTGGCGTGTCGTGGCGTGTTTGGGAGAGGGCCCAGGCAGTCCCCGGAGCCCTGGGGGCTGTTGAATGCTAGGTGTTGTCTTGGAGGCGGAGGCTGTTGAGTGCAGGGTGGCGCGTGCTACGCGGAAGGCGGGCGAGCGGCTGGGCGGGCGGCGGGCGGGCGGGTGGCGGGCGGGCGGGCGGGCGGGTCGGGATTTGAATGAATTCCTTAAGGGTGCTCTCTTGCAGCGGGAGCTTGTTGGAGACTGAAGCTGTGTACAGAGTGGTGCGTGCTACGCGGATGGCGGGCGGGCGGCGGCGGGTGCCCCAGGTGGTGGGTCAGAGGCCACATGGGTGTTGGTTTGGATCTCGTGGTTCGCCTGTCGGGGACGTCGTGAAGGCAGTTTCGCAGCTTCTCGGTAGCCATTTTGAGACCGTTGTGGGACCTCCTCTGGGCTGTTTTGTGGCCTCTTGAGGCCGTGTTTGGGTCTCCTGGGTGCCTCTCGGGGGCCTCCTGGGGCCTCTGGGGGGCTCCTTGGGGCCTCCTGGGGCAATCTTCAAGCGGGAGGGTCGAATTTTGGAGTCGTGGCCCCCCTCTTGGGCGCATCTTGGGGCCGTCTTGGGGCTCTCTTGGGCGCTTCTGGGGCCGTCGGGGGGCCCTCATTTTTTTCGGAAGGAAAACAGGGCGGAGGCGGGCAACGACCGAGGAACTCTCCTCGAGCCTCGGCAAGAAAAAAAAAAACAGCATCTGCCAAGCCGGCACCCTCGGCTAGGCAGGTTAAAAGGAGGAGGAGAAGGAGGAGGAGGAAGAAGAGGAGGAGGAGGAAGAGGAGGAGGAGGGAGGTGAGTGGGCGGCGTGGGCGGTTCCGCCTCGGCGCGGCCAGAGTGACAAACAGAAGCAAAAGAGGGGGATCACGAAGGCGTCTGAAGGCTCCTCTGAGCCGTCCGACCTTTGGACGACGTCCTGGGCCGCCGGGACGGCTTTCGGGTTCGTCTGGGAGGCGAGACGAGACCTCCCAAGAACGGGCCCCGCGCACAAGGCCTCACACTTGTGGTCGAGGTCCTGGCACCAGGGCCCCCAGGCCGGGTCCCCTTTGATAACCACCCGAAGGCCACAAAACTCTTGCAACTGTTGCAACAATATGTGCGTATGTCTGGTCTCTGCAAGCCGAGGGTTCCCGTTCTACCTCTGTTCAGGTAGCGACATGCTGTCCACTGCTGTTTTTGGCTTGCATCCAAGGAACGCCACGAATTTCGCAAGCTCACGCGAAAAGTTACGGATCATACTGTCAGTGTGGAACAGCGACTCAGCTGGAATGCAGGAATGGACTCTGGCTACGTGTTCCCGATGGGCAAGGACCAGAAGTTGCAACGTGCGTTTGTAGAGATTGTTCTCAGGTGACTGACCCATTCTCACTGAGCAAATGCTTACTGCATTCTGGCAGAAGGTCGAATAAGCCTGACCCCATATGAATCCGCGAAGCTCGTTTCGCTGAATTCCACCGCGATCCACCCGCAAAAAAGAGTCGCAGTGGCTACCATGACTGCACTGTTTCGTAGTCACATCGTACTGGCAATCGTAATCACAATACATGACAATCACACTGTTGGCATGGCTGGCCTCGTCTCTGTCTAGCATGAAAAACTTCGCCCGCGGGTAACGCAAATACAGTTCGCAAGGCATCGAGAAGAACGGCACATCATGGAAGGCTGTGCCCCGTTCAGGCCACTCCCCCAACCAATCAAATGGACGTAGTTTTGGGGCGCCTGTCTGATTCACTAGATCAGCGAAAACGTTTGAAGAGTCAACGCTCCCTGGATGTTGCTTAAAATCAATCACTTCTTGAATATTCACCCCCTGGAAACCGTGCACAGACTTGTACCCGAGCTGTTCGACAACATGATGCATCGTGGTGGTTCCCGTTCGACCCTGGCCAACATTGAATAGGAGATCCGTCGAACCACATTCGGGTAGGCTGACGTGTTCACTTTGGTGTGCAAGCGCTGTGCTGTTTCCGCCCAAAGAACCTGATGACTGCAGAAATGAAAACAATCCAGTAGGCTGGTGATCCCGAGATCCGTCCCTTGTCAGAACTCGTAATGCAGCAAATGCAGTTAAACCCAAGAGCGGTATGGCAACGCGTGGACGCCCACTGAATGCAGTTGTCATTAGCCACAAGCGCAGCAAAGGCCAATACCAGGAGAAAAGAAACCGGGACTCGACCACTGTGGCCCCCAAGTGCTGGAGCCCAAATGGCTTGAGCCAGAATCGCTTGAGCCAAAATGGCTACGGACCGTCTGGGGGCCCTCTTGGGCCGTCTTGGGGCGCTCTTGGGAGCCTATGGAGCCGGCCTGGAACGTCGGACAGCCGAAAAGGCTGGAAGGCCAAAATCTCTCCAAAACCTTCGTAACATTGACGATGTTGGTCTCTTGAAGCGCTCGGGAGAGGCGTCTTGAAGCGTCGCGGAGTGCCTTGGTGGGGGGGCTTCTCGGGCCGTCTTGGGCCTATCTTGGGCGTCCAGGAGTGGTCTTTCGGCGACTCGGGGGCCCGCTTGGGCCGTCTGGGGAGCCTCTGGAGGCCCTCCTGGACTATTTTGGACCTCCCCGGCCGCCCCGTCCTCCCATGGGGGGTCAGGGGTCGGGGCCCCGGGCCTGCCCCACAAGGGATATATATATATATATATATATATATATATATACATACATACATACATACATATACATACATATATATATATATATATACATACATACATACATATACATATACATACACATATACATACATATATATATATATACACACAAGACTGCAGAGGCGCTTCGCGCCATGCACCTTGGTCCTTGAAATTTGGTTTGCAGGCGGAATGGCAGGAAGGTCAAGCCGACAATTTACCGATAACTCCTGGTTGCCTTTTCCGGCATCGCCGCTACAATGGTGTTATTCGTTATCCTTCCTCCATGCTTATTGATCCGGATTTTCGCCATACCCTGCGCATTCTCCGCATCCTCCTCAGCTCCTTTTTGCGGAAGCTCCTCCTTGGAGAGCCTCTAGGGGCCTCACAAAAGTTGTTTCGGGCTTGCTTAAGGTCTTCTGGAGGCCTCCTGGGCGTATTCTGGGGGCCTCCGGGGGTTTCCTCGGGCCACCCTGCCTCCAACCGCCGTCTCCCTGAACGGCCGAATCACGATTTGGAATTCTTCGGAGGGTGTCTTTGGGCCATCTTGGGCCGCCATGGGGCTCTCTGAGGGCCATCTTGGACCCGTGTTGTGCCGTTTTGGGGCTCTCTTGGACTGCCTGGAAGCCCTTTCGGATGGTTGTGGGGCGATTTGGGAGCCTCCCAGGCGGCTTCGGACGCCCAGAAGACCGCCGTCTTGGAGCGTCGGGAAGCCGAAAAGAAGAGAACCCCAAAATTCACCAAAAACCATCAGAAAATCAATAATTTTTGCCTCGGGGGGCCTTCTTGGGAGTGCTCTTGGAGGCCTCTTTGGGGCCGTCCTGGAGGCCTCTTGGGCCATCTTGAGGTCACGTCGGTCACTCTTGGAGCGCTCTTGTGCTGTCTTGGGGGTCTCTGGGACGTCTCCGATGACCCCCCTGATCGCCCTAAGTGTGCTGGGAAGGCTTGGCAAAACGCCTTGCGAGGCCCGGTGGCCGCTTCGAGGCCCGTCTGGAGGGCCCCAAAGCCCCAGGTCCCGGGAGTTCAGTTTTTTTTTTTGGGGGGGGGGGGGATGGGTTTTTTCCCCCGCCCAAGCTTATAAAACTATAGGAAGAGGAAATAATATATATATATATATATATATATATATATATATATATATTAAAAAAAAAAAGACTGCAGTGGCGCTTCGCGCCATGCACCTTGGTCCTTGAAGTTTGGTTTGCAGGCGGAATGGCAGGAAGGTCAAGCCGACAATTTACCGATAACTCCTGGTTGCCTTTTCCGGCATCGCCGCTACAATGATGTTATTCGTTATCCTTCCTCCATGCTTATTGTTCCTTTTTCGCCATACCCTGCGCATTCTCCCCATCCTCCTCATGCTCCTCCTTGGAGAGCCTCTAGGGGCCTCACAAAAGTTGTTTCGGGCTTTCTTAAGGCCTTCTGGAGGCCTCCTGGGCGTATTCTGGGGGCCTCCGGGGGCTTCCTCGGGCCACCCTGCCTCCAACCGCCGTCTCCCTGAACGACCGAATCACGATTTGGAATTCTTCGGAGGGTGTCTTTGGGCCATCTTGGGCCGCCATGGGGCTCTCTGAGGGCCATCTTGGACCCGTGTTGTGCCGTTTTGGGGTTCTCTTGGACTGCCTGGAAGCCCTTTCGGATAGTTGTGGGGCGATTTGGGAGCCTCCCAGGCGGCTTCGGACGCCCAGAAGACCGCCGTCTTGGAGCGTCGGGAAGCCGAAAAGAAGAGAACCCCAAAAAATTCACCAAAAAACATCAGAAAATCAATGATTTTTGCCTCGGGGGGCCTTCTTGGGAGTGCTTTTGGAGGCCTCTTTGGGGCCGTCCTGGAGGCCTCTTGGGCCATCTTGAGGTCACGTCGGTCCCTCTTGGAGCGCTCTTGTGCTGTCTTGGGGGTCTTTGGGACGTCTCCGATGACCCCCCTGATCGCCCTAAGTGTGCTGGGAAGGCTTGGCAAAACGCCTTGCGAGGCCCAGTGGCCGCTTCGAGGCCCGTCCGGAGGGCCCCAAAGCCCCAGGTCCTGGGAGTCCGGTTTTTTTGGGGGGAGCGGTGGAGAGATACATACTTCTCAGGTCTATCCTGGGAGGTGCGCTTTCACGCACATGCGATCGATGCAAGACCGCTCGGTGCTCTTCCACTCCCTGGCGCCGATCGTCACCTTGATCACGGAACGGCCTCGTCCCAGAAGTCCTCTGGCTGCGGAGCAGAAGGACCTGGCCGGCGGTGCCGCCACTCAGCCGCGTCATCTCGGCCGCAGCCCGTTAGCCACCTCGAAGAACAGGGACAGTTGGCGAATGGAAATCTCTGGTGCATCAAACTTGTCTTTAACCCCAACTCCACTGCGTGGGTGCATGTCCCCATCGATGAAGACGTCGGAGCCACTTATTTCCATGACTGGTGAATCTGAGGTATGGCCCAGGATGCGGATTGGCCTTCGAAGAGACGCGCAGCGCAGATGTTGTAGCATTGCAGACCCTTCCCTGGCAGGAACCTGAACCTGAGGGCCCGTCGTACATGCTTGTTTTCCCAGGCACGAGCTTTCTGGAGAGGCTCTTGCGAAGGAGCTCAGGACGCACGCATCGGGATGCACATCGAATTGCAATCGACATGGACATCGACATGATCATCGACATGATGATTGGAAAGTGCCGTGGAATGCAATTATTGAACGCATCTGGTAATTCACAATCATATGCGCATCGAGATGGCAATATGTATGCATGGTTATCGGGTCGTCGACATGAATTTCGAATCCGAACCAAAGTGCAATCGAAATGCAAGTCGACATGCAGTTCCGATAACGCTCGAAATACGAGTTAGATATCCCCCCACCTTCTTGTCACCCGAAAGGTTGTCGAAATGTGCATGAAGTACTTGTGGGGCGCCACGACAGGGAGACGCTCCTATCAGTTTGGTTGTTGCGTGGATCCGCCACCGTGCCTCGTGCGCGAAGAGGCGTGGAAGAATGCCAAGCCCTGCCTGGTCGGGTTATTGTAACTTTCTGAGGCCGCCCCCCCCTCGGGGCGCACTTCCTTGCACGCACCGCCCCCTCTCTCCGAGGCACCCCGTGTTGCCTCACACCTCCCTGGCGCTCTCACAGGCGTCCAAGATGCCCAATATGGCTCTCGAGACAGCCACAGCAGGCCAGCAAGGCCGCCAAGCTGGCCGCAGAGCGCTCCAAGACGGCCCAAGATGGCCGCAGGACGGCCCACGAGGTCGTCGAGGCGACCCAAGAGAGCCCCGGGAGCCTTCCTAAGAGGGCCTCAAGAGGCAATCCATTTGATGTTGAGCTCTTATGCGAGGTGGAGGTCGAATCCTTTTCACCTCAGGCCTGGGCGATCTTGATCACAAAATGGCTTCAGCCAAACATACAAACGTGCATGCATGCAACACTTCATTATCCTCGCTCGAAACCCCTCGAATCTCTGCACGCCCCCTGAGGGCGATGTCGGAGGCTCTACGAGGCGGCTGATCAGACCGCTCAACGAGGAAACAGCACTCAAAGTCAAGGAAAACCTGATCTCGCGAGCCGCAGGCAAAACACGCTGCTGCGGTGTCGCTCGAGCCCTTCCGCTGGCGGTCCTCTCGACTCACCAGCGGGATACCGCATCAAATCACTCACCTCACTCAGCCCAGGCACCCTGAGCTCTCTCTCTCTCTCTCTCTCTCTCTCTCCCAGTGGGACAAACCTAGGACTCTCCCGGTACCGGGAGTACGTCACCTGGCTCTGGGTCGAGACGGTCCTGTACTCGATCTTCACCTTCTTGGTCTTGATGGCCCTCTGGGAGAGCTCTACCTTCTCCTTCTCCTGTCTGCTCTCGCCCGTGCGGCTCGGCCTCATGAAGTAGCCGATGCACCAGCCAGCACAGCCACCGACTGCGCATGCCACGATCATCATGGTGATCATGACCACGATGAGCATCATACCCTGGAGGTGCACGCCCTTCCCTAGACGGGTGTCCTGCAGGATGATATCCTTCTTGTCCTTCTCGTAGCCGTGGACGTCGCGCTCACCGTCTGCCTTCACCGAGCCCAGGCTGTCCAGGAGAGCGATCAGGGCCGCGCCGACCCTCGCCATCTTGGGCGTCGAGTCGCTCACGAGGTTGACCCGAACAGCCGTGCTCTCCTCCATGTCATCTGCGCCTGCCAACGGCCGACGCCCCAGCTGCGCCCCCAGCCAGTGGAACCTCTGACTCGTCAGCGCCTTGGTACCTACGTCGGCCAGGTTGGTCTCCCCAGCCTGCTTGACCACCGCAAGCTTCTTGTCTCGCACCTTGGTCTGGAGCCACAGGGTGCGGACCTCAAGGTGGCGGATCCTCCCTACTCCAACGCGGTGGCAGACCGCCTTTCCCGCAGAGGAGTCTATGCGGATCCTGATCTTCACGTTCATGTCCAGGAAACCCATCACGCTCTGGAGGTGGATCGCCTCGGTAGCTGCTGTCACAAACGCGTAGTACTCTGCTTCTCCTGAGCTCAGCGCTTGGGTACTCTGACCGCGCGAGTACTCGAGAAGCGCGCAGCCGCCGCAGCACAACACTCCACAAGAAACACTCTTTCTGTCGATGGTGTCTCCAGCCCAATCTGAGTCAGTGTAGCACTCCAGCTCTGGGAAAGAACAGTGCGTAGTCACGAACTCCAAGTAGATACCTGCCGAGGTGCTTGAGCCTCTTCATGTCGTTGTCGGTGGGCGTGGCCAACCTCTTGATCAGCACGTGGACAGCGAACGTGACCTCCGTGACGTAGTTGACCATGTACCTCGCGATGCCCACACACTGCCTGTAGAGACTGGTCTCCTCGGCGTTCAGAGGGTGCTCGAAGTCCTCTTGCAGTAGCTTCGTCACAATGGGCGTGGGCGAGCTCTTTGCCTTGCCGAGGTTCAGCAGCTCTATGATCTTGTCCACGTACTTCCTGTTGCCCGTCAAGAACATGCCATCCTCGACTCTCACTCGCCCTCCTTTCAGGTGTTGGTACTTCGCACCTACCTTGAGTAACTTGCTTACCTTGATATTGACCTTGCTGCTGAGCTCTGTCGTGAATACCTGGAACTTGATGTCGTCAGCGGTCGCGTAGATGTCATCCTGATGAAGCTCCAGGTCCACTGAATCCCGCTCTCGGCGATAGAAGCATGGCTGGTCAGGGCACTGCTCAAATTCCATCTCCGAGACGAGGGTGCGGTTCATGAAGTCACTGAAGCCCCTGCTCGCACCCCTCTCGCCATAGAGCTTCTTCTTCATCCTCCACATCGTCCTCGTGGTGTGGCCCTTGATTGCCTCGGCCTCAATCCACTCCCGAGGCGGCGCCACTGCCACGAGCCTGTCTTGTTCAGCATGGAAGTAGGCATTGACAGCGTCGATGATGACGGTGGGCTGGTCCCGCTTCACCGCCTTGAAGTCTACGAGCCTGCCAGTCGTGGGTTCGCTGGCCGGCGTGAGCAGCCCCTCGCGTTCGGGGTCCGTGCTCTTGAACTCCCTGGCAACGAAGCGACAGCGAATCTCATCGCCCTTCTCCTGGTACACCCATTTGGTTGACAACCTCGTCCATGTGGAATCTATATCATCAGGCGACACAGCCTCGAACACTCCAAACTCCTGCATCGTGTTGATCTCCTTGCAATTGCCTGCCTTGATGAGGTCTACGTCGTACTCTCCCTCATGCCAGTCGATGTCCATCTCTGGATCCATGACGGGCATCGGGTCGATCTCGCCCATCACGAAGCCGTCGACGCCTCCGACGGTGCCCATCTCAACCTCTGGGACTTCTGGCTCCCCAGTCGGTTGTGCAGGACGTGATGACGAGCTTCCGCCTACCTCTTGCCTCGGTGTGGGGAGCGCCACGTCCTCCATGTAGCCACTGCCCGTCCTGCTCCTGGCACTCGCGTAGCTGTTCCCGTCCTCGGCAACTCCCCTCTCCACCGTGGGGTCTGGACCCCCTTTCTCCTCCTTGGTGTCGTCGACCTCGGTCTCCTCCTGCTCCTTCTCAGGTGGGGCAGTCGGGAAAATGACCACCCTCTTGCCTTTCGGCCTTCCGATCTGGCCGATGCCTCGGCCCCAGGGGACCCCAACCATCTTGGCCACGAGCTCGAGGTCGCATTGGTCCTCCTCTGGGAGCCTGCGCACGGCCCTGACCAAGTGCACCCCGCTGCTCGTCCCCATGGGGAACTCATCGCTCTCGTAGGTCTTGCCCAAGAAGATGCCCTTCTCCCACATCGACTTGGACTTGCGACTGCGCCTGCCTCCAGTCATGTGGCCACTCGACGACATCGGATGCTTGAACACGGCGGTCTCTGCGAACTTCAGGACGACGCCATGGTACTTGGTACCAGTCGCATCTTGATGAGGAGTCCGTCCATTTGACTTGATGTGGAACATCTCCGTGATGAAGCCTACGTGTCTAACAAGCCACGGCCATAGAACATGACCTGGCCCTATCTTGATACCAAGCATCTTCTCTGTTGCAGCTCTGATCGTTCTGGCCTGGCCTTGAAGGATCTTCTGCTGCGCCCCCACGGCCCCGAGCGACTGCGACGAGTACCTGGGGGTCTGCTCCACTGTGACCTTGTAGCCGTCGAACTTGAGTCTCTTGGCCGCCACTGCGTTCGCTATGCTGGCAATGCTCGGCTCTCCGTCACTCCTGAGCCTGAGCTGAGTGGCGCCTAGCCTCCTGAGGAAGCTCACGATCGAGGTCACCGTGTAGTCATGGTTGCCTCCCTTCCCTGGGAGGCTGAGCTGTAGAGGAAAACCCGTGTCGCAGTCGATGACGGCCAGCGTGGTGGAGAAGCGGTTGGCCACATCCTCGGTCTCTTCGCCGTCGTCCTTCAAGAAATGGTAGTCGATCTGCACGACAGGCACCTCTGGCTCCTTGTCCGTAAGAAACTGAACTCCCCGATGGGGCGCAGCATCTCCCTTTCCGAACACGCACTCCAGGCACCAAGGCTCGAACTTCGCGTGAGTGAGCTCGTGCTGCCTCACGGTCTCCGCGTCTGGCCTCTCTGGGATCTTCAGCGTCCTCGGTACCTCGGGAGCGACGCCTTCCTGGAGTCGCCGTTGGCGCTCCTCAAGGGCCTCCTTGACCTTCATCTTCTCATCCAGCTGGTGCTCGCACTTGACGAGCCTCTCCCACAGCTGCCTCTTGGTGCCGTAGATGGCCGCATCGATGATCCCAGGCCTCCTGAGCTCCTTCAGGCGTGCCCTCAACGCCTCGACTGACGACTGGGAGCCCAGGATATCTCGTGGATGTCCTGCCTTTGGTGGTGCAGGTGCGGCTTGAGGTTCTGGTGGTGCAGGTGCGGCTTGAGGTTCTGGCAGAGGTGCTGGCGCTGGCTCTTGCTCTTGAGCCGCTTGGTCGATCACAGGTGCCACCCGATGCCTGCGAGCACCCGCCTCCAGCACTCGACACCTTGCGTAGAAGCTCTTCCCGATCATTGTCAAGGGTATATTCCTCTGAACGCCATTCACGCTCGGCGGGGCCATGTAGCTGTTCCCCGTATCCAGAAGAATGACCGCTCCTCTCATGACTCTGAGGCCACAGCTGAGCACAAGCTTGCTGAAGTCACCGATGCGCAATCGGTTCGTGGCCATCACCTCGTGGCCAATCTCGTCCAGGAACGCGATGCCGACGTTCCGCTCACCGTAGTCCTGGATCTCGTCGTTGGTGGCCGCCCTCAGCTCCACCTTAGTGGGATCCTCGACGTCATCGCTCGAGTGACCGAAGCCGAGGGACACCCATCGGCGTCCGACCCGCTGTCGATCGAGACCCACACGTACTTGCTGCCGTCGTCAATGGTGTTCACGCTCTCGGTGACGCACATGACCCACAGCTCGTCCTGCTCGTTGACTATCCTCTTGACCTCAGCATTCTCGGGCTTCGACCTGCACTCTGAAGCTTTGTGGCCCAGCTTCCCGCACTTGTCGCACTTGATGTGTGACCTGCAATCCTTGGCCTCGTGGCCTGGCTTCCCGCATTTGTCGCACTTCTTCCTCTCTTTGCCTCCTTTGCCGCCTTTCGCATCCTTACCCTTGCCTTTCATCTGGCTGGCTGCTCCACCCCCTGGGGCCCAACAGTCCCTTGACCAATGGCCTCGTTTGCCACAGTTCTTGCAGGTGTCGCGATCCGAGTCCCGACCCTTGCCAGCGTCCTTCCTCGCCTGCTTGCCGTACCCCTTCGGAGGTTTGAAGATGCCACCCACGTCTCCACTCTCATTCACCATCCCGACGTCCATGGGCATGGGTCCGTCGTACTGGATGCCGTGGGGCGCTCCAGTGGTCTCGTAGACCTTGCCACTAGCAATGTAGTCCGTGACATCCTTGGCCACCTTGTGGTAGTCCTGGCCGATCGCCCCCAGAGCTTGACGGACCACGGCCTTCACGTCCTCTGGAGCCCATCTGACCACGACGGCGATCCTCGTGCCTTCCGTGACCTTCTCCAAGGACTGTGCTTCGTAGAGCGAGACACTCTTCTCCCACTCCTTCCAGGCTGCCTCCCAAGTGCGGATGCCGCCCCTGATGGCCGTCTCCCACTCAGGCTTGAGCACGCCCATCAGCATCGCCGTCAGTCTTCCGCCAGACGTCGGCTCGTACTCGTCCTTCAACCTCTTCCAACCTATGGCACCGTTGTTCTTTGGCACCATCTGGAGGATCGTGAGAGCCTTGCCTCTCGTCGTGGCGATCAGCAAGTGATACAGCACCTTCATCCTCAGTTGGACTCTCTCCGATTGAGTTGCCCAGCCTAGCTCGGTCTCGTCCGTGTTCTCGCAGTGCGTCATGATCTGCTCCAGGTCGACGAGCCCTGCCGTCGACTCGAACACGAAACACCACTGCCTCCATTCCTCGTCCGCGCCTGAGAAGACTCCAATACTACTCAGGATCTTCGTGTCAACTATGCTCTCGAGCCGTCTGTCCTCGGCTTGAGCTTCTGGTCTCTGGGCGCCCTCGGTCAGCCTCTGAATCTGGGCCGCCTGCTCGCCAACAATCCGCTGCAGCTCCTGCAAAGCTGCCTCCATCGCGCAGCTCTGGCTGCGACGGATCACGCTCCCGCTACCATGTTGAGCTTTATGCGAGGTGGAGGTCGAATCCTTTTCACCTCAGGCCTGGGCGATCTTGATCACAAAATGGCTTCAGCCAAACATACAAACGTGCATGCATGCAACACTTCATTATCCTCGCTCGAAACCCCCCGAATCTCTGCATTTGAAGTCTCCTCGGGTGTTTCAATCTTGTTTCGGGTTGTCGCCTTTTCGAGTTTTGACGTCCCAAGGCGGCCCGAGAGGCCACCAGGACTGCCCAACACGGCCAAACCAGTCCCCAAGGAAGCCCCAAGACGGCCCAAGAGGGCTCCAAGACGGCCCAAGAGGCGCCCAGGAGTGCCCAAGAGGGCCCCAAGAAGGGCCCAAGAGGGTGAACACGAACCAATAATTCGAGTCTTCCGCCCAAGAAGGCAGAGGAGGCCCCCAAGAGGAAAGGAGGGCCCCAAGAGGCAACAAAACACGAATTGTCCTTAGCTCCCGACGCTCGAAGACGGCCCAAGAGACCCCCAAGAGTCCCCAGAGACAGCTCAAGAGGCTCCCACGAGAGCTCCAGGATTGCCCAAGAGGGCTCCAAGACGGCCCACGAAACGCCCGCAAATGCCCAAGAGGGCCCCAAGACGGCCCCAAGAAGGACCTAAGAGAGGGAGCACGAACCGAGAATTCGAGGCTTCTGCCCGAAGAGGCCCACAGCAAGCTCCCTTGCATTCTCGAGCAGCTGCCACCGAGAATGCTTCGCTGGCACGGTGGCGGCATTGCCGGAGGCAGTTAGACATCACAACAAAAGAACCTCCTGCCAAAGCAAGGCCCGCACGGCTGCGGAAATCAAGGACCTGCGCAGTCGTGATGCAGAAAAAGGCAGGTGAGCAGCAAAGAGGAACTGGTGGGGACAAACCGTCCACGTGCCCCAAGCCTACTTCTTCAGATGCCAACAGTTGCGCACTGCCCCCCAAGCACCTCGGACGCGTGACTGCCCCGTGGATGGCTGCCAAGCGAAGCTCTAACTCAACCTGCTGCGACTCTCCAACCTGATCCATAGCAAAGCGAATGCTTATATACGTCCACGCGCTCTGGGATTCTGAGTCAATGAACGGTGGCACGCCCACCTGCTTTCACTTCTCCGAGCTCTGCATCAAATGGTCCAGCAACGTGAGCCACCAGCACTTCTAAGCCGTGGCATACAAATCGCGCGCGCGGTCGCATCCACAAGTTTGGCCTCTTGATAAGCTCATCGTGCCCAGGTGCCTGCATCGACGAAGGACAGCTCTACCACAGCTGTTCGCGCTGCTAGGAGCTGGAGCCCGCACTTCTGTAACCAACGCGGCAATGAAAATCACCATCCGATTGAATTCCAATTGAAGCTCCGCACTTCAGCATGCTGGCACATAGCCAATACTTACTAGCCGATAGTGCGTCAGCCAATGTTCTAGCGGCTAGGAGCATGGGAGAGGAGAATGAGGATGAGGATGAGGATGAGGATGAGGATGATGATGATGAGGAGGAGGAGGAGAAGAAGAAAGTGGATGAGGGGAAGGGGAGCAGGACGCGTATGAGGAGGGGGCGGAGGATGGAGGCACGCAGCGAGAGGAGGACAAAAATGATGGGGCCCTCCCTGGCCTGGGCCCCCCCCGCGGGTCCATGATGGCTGCCGAGTCTCCGCTGAGGTCTCGTGCGGGCCTCGCTGGCGTCGCGAGGCGCGAGCGAGGGAGGAACGACGGCGGAAGGAGGAAGCGCCCGCGCTCCGCCAGAGGAGGAATGGGATGCTGGACGAGGCAATGAGGAGGAGGAGGAGGAGGAGGAGGAGGAGGAGGAGGAGGAGGACGTAGAGGGATGAATGAGGGAGGAGCGGGAGAAGAATGGAGGAGAAGGGGAAGAAGATGAGAGGGAGGAAGAGGAGCAGGAGGACAACGAGGGGGAGGAGGAGGAAGAGGACTGACGATAGCCTCGAGGTGTGATGGCTTGTGGTCTCCCACTCGACCCCGCCAGCCGCCCCTCCGACCTCGAACGCAGTCAGGCGGTCTCCTCTCCTAACCCCGATGCAAAGAAAAGAGGAACAACAAACAGCATAAACGTAAACTTTTGGCGGTCCGCGCGGATCTCTTGGATCCGCGCTGGACCCCCCTCCCTGGCCAAAGCGGCCGGGGGGCCCGGCGCAGATCCAGGAAATCCGCGCGGAGCGCAAAGAATTTATTTAAAAAAGAAGGGGGCGCGATCCACAAGCCCCCCCCTCCCTGGGGGGCTGCATGGGAGAGCCGTGTCCTCCCTCGTGGAGGGCGTCCATGCTTGGGCCTTGCAGGACCCTGCAAGATCCTGCAGTGCACCCAAGCCCGGGACAGTGCACCCCTGGCCCTGCAGGATCCTGCAAGATCCGGCGCTCTGACTGACCCCCGTCTGTATTGACCCCCATCCCTTGAGCCCCAACATGCCAGAGGCGGGCCGTCGCCGGCAGACACGCACCTGTCCAAGAGAACAGCACGGCTGCACACTCGCTCGCTCGTGCCGTACAGTCGGACCTGGGCCAGAATAACATCCTTCAAGAACACGAGCGGTGGCCCGAGTCCTGGGCTCCCAGTCTGCCGAGGGCCTCGGGCGGCGAACGGCGAAGCACACCGCCGGCCCGAGCACGGATCCTGCGCGGTAGTCGGGCTCGCGCGTGGCTCAGTGCGTCGGTGGCCAAGGAATGCAATCGGACCTAAGACAGAATAACACCCTTCAAGAACATAAGACCCTCCACCGGCCACAAAGAGGAGCACTCCATGGTACCCTCCACCAGGATGCACGAGAGCATCCAACAAGCACGAACAACGCTAGGGTGCCCTCCTCGAACCGACCTCGATCTTATATCTCGGTCCGACTGAACGCTGGAGCGCGTAGGCGGAAGAAGGCATTGCAAGCATGGTCTCACCGCTTTGTGGGAATGGCGGCACGCCAGCGGTTCGGAGGAGGAGAAACAAAGGCAGCAATCAACCAGATTAATGACCTTCTGGATGGAATGTGCTGATGTGCTGAGCCTCGGATGGCCGACCGAAGCTCCCTCGCCTTGTACAATGCCAGGGGAGGAAGAGGGCACGGGGGGGAGAGAAAGAGAGAGAGAGAGAGAGAGAAAACAGAGAGGCATGCGGGCTGCGAGGGAGAGCGAGAGCTATGCGACGAGGGAGGAGAAGGAGGAGGAGGAGGAGGAGGAGAACAGGAGGAAGAAGAGGAGAACAGGAGGAGGAGGAGAACAGGAGGAGGAAGAGGAGGAGCAGCAGGAGGAGGAGGAGGAGGAGGAGGAGGAGGAGGAGGAGGAGGAGGAGGAGGACGAGAGTGAGGAGGGGATGAGGCTAAGTGGGGCTAGAGGGAGGGGGGGGGCAGGGAGCGAAAGATGAGTGGAGCGAACGGGGGGGATGAGCGGGAGAGCAGAGACTGAAGGGTGGGACAGGGAGGAGGAGGGGCCCGGGGTGACAAAGGGGGAAGGGACGAGGCGGGGGCGGGGTGACCACGCGGGAAGGGGGGGACGAGGGGGGGAGAGGCGAGAGCCCCGCTCCCGCACCAGGGCCGCACACCCACCCCTCCTCCCGCCGCAGGCGGGGCGCGCCCGCGCGCCTCGCGTCGGCGGGTCTGCAGGGCCAGGCCGCTCCGGGGGGGGGGGAGCGCAGCGAGGGCGCGTGCTGCGGAACCGTCGGGGGGCGGGACGGACGGACGGAGGGACGCCGATGCCGCGGGCCGCGGCCGCGCGCCTCCAAGGCGACGGCCAGGGGGGGCCGTCCAGTCAACCCGCGCAGTAAGGATGGACAACCCTGCCAAGGGTACGCATTGCATCCTTGCCTCCTCGGTCCATCCTTGGCCGCTGTCGTTGGCCGCGCCCCGCTCGGAAAGCTCCGACATGGGCGTCCAAGGCTCCTGCATCCTTATCGTGCATCCTTATGATACGGGCCGACTGTACGGCCTCGGGACCCCCAGAGGTCCAGCGACGAGGATGACGCGGAGGACGAGGATGACGAGGATGACGACGGCGATGAGGATAACGCATCCTTATGACACGGGCCGACTATAGCCCCTACGATGTGCAGCTTCAGCGAGCCGTCGGGAGCAAGGGGGGTTGGGCCACGGGGAGGCTGCCAAGGGCGGTGCGGGAGGCAGCCCCAAGGGGGCCCGTGGTCTCCTGCTGTCTTCTCCTCCTCCTCCTCCTCTTCCTCCTCCTCCTCCTCCTCTTCCTCCTCGTCCTCGTCCTCGTCCTCCTCGTGCTGCTCCTCCTCCTCCTCCTCCTCCTCCTCCTCCTCCTTCTCCTCATCCTGCTCCTCCTCCTCCTCCTGCTCCTACTCCTGCTCATGCTCATGCTCCTCCTCTTCCTCCTTCTCCTCCTCCTCCATCCCTCTTCTTGATGATTAGTTCCTCCCTGTCGCACCCCGAGACGTGTCGGCAGTGGGGGCCAGACGTTTCGCCTGAGACATCCTGGCCACTTGTGATCATTAGTCCTAAACTTCACAACAACTTTTGGGATGGAGGGCGCGTGGTCTAAAGCATGTGGCTCTCGCCTTAGCGCCGCGTACATTCGTCTTCAAAATGTACAAACGTTTCACGGATGGAGGGCGTTACCTTTTCAACGTGTGGCTCTGGCCAATGCGCCGCGCACATGTGTCTTAAAAGTTTACCAGAATTTGACAGATGGATGGCGGTACTTTTTCAATGTGTGGCTCTCGTCTTAGCGCCGCGCACGTCCATCTTAAGAACTTCCAGCACTTTGAAGGACTGTCGTCACTAACGTCACAGGCGATGTAGGACTGTCAGGGCGCAACATTTACGTTCATTCGCGGCGTTGGAGTCCCAATAATGGTGTTCTGGCACGATTCAGGATTGTCGCGACGCAACGGTTACGTTGATTCGCGGCGTTGAAATCCCAGGGATGGTGTTCTGGACGGGTTCCAGATTTTCTGACGGTTGTTTTCCAACGGGGCACTTGTAGGGACCTATGGAGAGGAAACTTTGAGGGACGGTTG